CCCTCAAACTTCAGCCGTGAGGGGTCCTCTAAGACAATAAACACTTTCTGCAGGTAAAATTCTCAGCCAGATAACTCCATTTTCAACCTAGATTCATAACAACGCACAGAACGCCTGCACTCGTGCACTGCAAGTGTCACAGCACACTCCTATAAAGCCTCATGTGTTCTCTGTTGAGGTCTCCAAACAGGTGTGCAGTCTCCTTTCCCTCCAGATAAAATTCCCGTGTCCCATATTCCCACTTAGTTGTTTCTCTTTCCAGCCCACGCACTTTGAAGTTGGGGGGAAAAAAAAAATCAATCCACCAGTTAAATGAACATCTCGGCAATCTTGAGACGTCTCGGGAGATTTCCAGGTTATAAAAAATGTATAACAACTCTCTGTTGGCTTTTTTTTTTTTTTTTTTAAATGGAAGTTTGGCATTTTGTCTGATATATTTTGGGTACTTCAAAAATCAACAGAGTCAAAACAAATCCTAGATGAAAGCTAACAACAGAAAGGAGAAAGAAAAGAAAGCAAGAAAAAGAGTTAAAAACAGAGAGGAAAATACCCAACTGACTGGCTTTTCGGGCTCTCACATAAATAATGGACAGCTAGTAAATAAATAAGTTACAGGGCTCAGCCGAGCCCAGGGGACTGGTGGACATGATCCTGCAAGTTTATTAGAACACAGAAACACAGCTGGAAGGAGACCTGGGAGGTCACCGAGTCTAGTCTGCTGCTATCTCTGGCTGTGCCTCACTCAAGACCCCCACTGGGACCAATTTTTCTTAGCTAGGAAGACATAGAAATTACCCCACCACAGTCAACCCTGTGATTTGGGACTTGCACCACTGGGTATAAGAGCAGAATTTGGCCCCCTTGCTGTACCACCGAGTTACATTCATTTCAAGGCATTCTCAACTGAACACTTGATGAAATCTCTTTTCTGGCACTACCAGGAATTTCTAGGTTTTCCAGCATTCAGTTTCTCAGATCTGCCTTCAGGACAACACAGTGGCCTACAGGACTCCTGCCAGTGTTAATGAAGATCACACTGACATTCCCAAGAGAGAATACATCCCTGCTGCGACAGTTCCCACATCTCCGTTAATGGGAGGAGAGTCCTTAAAGAGATATCCATAAATGTAATTTTCTGGCAAGGTGGTAGATGCTGTGCCCTAGAAAGTTCCTTACAGCTTCCCAGGATTTGTGTGGGATGAATCTCACTTAACTGTAGGTACCTACCATGCACTGTCACCTAAATCAGTCTCTCCAGATTTACAGATAGCAGAAAGAGATGGGCATTTTACAGTGTAATTTAGGTGGTTTTAGTTGTTTTCCTTTCTACCACACACCCTTAATGAGACTTCAACAGTTTTTTCTGCCACATCTGAACCCTAGAAGAGCCACCTTCTGCTCTCTAGCACCACTGCTAGCAGTCCATGTTTTCTTCATTAATATTTCTGCCTTTACATCCTGTTGTTATTTAAAGCTTTAAGCAGGCTTGGTAATACTGATCCAGTATTAGATAATAATGATACCACATAAGCCAATACCATGGTAACGATACCATAAGAATGATAGCAATATTCCTAAATTAACTAATAATGACACCAAAGGCCTCCAAAAAGGATGCAGGATTTAACCTCTCTACCTCAGCCCATTGATTTGCAGCCTTCCTTTGCTACAAACTTGCTCAAGATCAGAGAGAACACACATCATCAGGAGGAGCAGCTCCGACTGACCAAGGAAGGTCCATGCTTGCCTTCTCATAAGGAAATTTTCTGCATTGGTTTGAGTAGGATGAACATGGGAGACAGCCACAAGTCATAAAACCTGCTGGATTTCATTAGTGCAACCCCAGATACAGAATCATAGCATCGTTTTGGTTGGAAGAGACCTTCAAGATCAAGTCCAACTGTTAACCCAGCACTGACAAGTCCACCATTACACCATGTACCTCAGCACCAAATCTACACGTCTTTCAAGCCCCTCCAGAGATGGTAACTCCATCACTTCCCTGGGCAGCCTGTTCCAGTGCTTGACAACCCCTGGAACAACTTGAGGCTGTTTCCTCTTGTCCCACTGCTTGTTACCTGGGAGAAGAGCCCAACCCCCTCTCACTACAATCTCCTTTCAGGTAGTTGTAGAGAGTGAGAAGGTCTCCCCCTGACTCTCCTTTTCTCCTGACTATACCATCCCAGTTCCCTCAGCTGCTCCTCAAAAGACTTGTTCTTTAGACCCTTCACCAGCTTTGTTGCCCTTCTCCAGACCTGCTCCAGCACTTCAGTGTCCTTCTCACAGTGAGGGCCCCAAAACTGAACACAGTATTCAAGGTGCGACCTCAGCAGTGCCAAGTTACAGAGGAACAATCACTCCCCTACTCCTGCAATATTTGAGAAAACCCATTTGAGGAGTATTTCAACACAGTATATTAATGTTGCACCTCATTCCTACAATTTAATTGCAAGTGAGCACCACTGTACCTAAGTACAGTAAGGATATGCAAGATCAGTACCTATTCAGCAATAAATATCAAGCTCATTTAGGTAATTCAGGAACCCCTCCTTGTTTATCTTACAAGTTAACTTTCAGGTTTTTAAAAACAACAAACAGAAAAGTGTGCTGTCTTTTCACTGTTTTGCTGCTGGCATGCTTTCTGTATTCCTCCTTGGACAGGTAAATCTGATGGTCTAATGAAGGCACATTCTGGGGAATTTCCCTTTCAGATCTCACAGGCTAGAAGGCTGCACTGAAGTGGCAATTATTCACATGCTTTAATAATGGATTTGATATTCTAAGTGAAAAAAAAAAAACAAACAAAACACAAACTCAAAGGCTGTGCAAACAAGTTCTTAGCTCGTGTGAACTACGAACACCACCAAACCTGCTCACCACCAGCAAAGGCCCAAACCCAAGGGACTGCACACTCAGTTGGTGACACATTTCCTCACCCTGGGAGCAGGGATGGTTCTGCCAGTGGAAGTGCAAGATCCCTGGCCATCTCTGCCAACAATCACTGGGCCTACTGGAATAGGAGTGCCCCAGAGAAAGCTCGTGAACTGGTCCCCACACCCATCCGTGTGCTGAGATAGCTCCAGAGCACCACAATAAAACTGCTGCAGTGTAATTTGGACTGCCTAAAAAAGCTGTTTTCAATACCACCATGTCTAGGGCAGTGAAATTACATTACAGATGGATCCTTCTGTGTCTCCAGGACTAATCAGGAAAAGGAGCAGGTGAGGACCACTTCAGCTATCTGTGAAGTGCCTTTGACCTGCTGTACCCCAGTTAAGGATCAAGACTGAGGATCCCACACCTGGGTACAAGAGCACAGACTGGCACCCTGACAGCAACTGAAACCCTCACCTTCAGCACAGGCTGGTGGCTGCAGCCTGCCCTGCTGCTAACCACCATCTTCCTGCTTCTGCACAAATGGGTGAATGCAGCAGTAAATTTGGCTGTTGTCACGTGCAGCCTCAGCCATGGAGAATGAACCTCGACCTGCTCAGGCTGCCTCTCTGGCTAGCATTGGCCCTCTCCTGTTTTATTTAGACTTTGCAACACCAAGCAAGGAAGCTAGCATTTAAATGTCTGCTGTCCTGAACACAAATCCCAGTGTTTGCCCCAGCCCAGTTTCAAGCATAAACCTGGGAACCCAAATTTCTCAGAGCTCACTAGCTGTTCCATGGACCTCACCCTCTCCACAACAGGAGAGCTGCTTTCCCCAAAATGAACTTCAGAGTTAGGGTTGGAATTAAAAGTTAAGATTCAAGACAAATACGATAAAACCTGTGGCTATATCCTGATTGATGACAGGACAAGCAGGGGACTTGGATCCTTGCTATGCAGACAGGGCTGTGGAGTCTTGGGGTCTATGGAGGATATCTAGCTAGACTTCTCATTTTCTGTCAGTGTGAGAAGATACCTGTTATCAGTAAGGGAAAATGGCTTAATACTTTAGTTCTGGGGTACACAGGGGTGACTCATGAATCTTAAGGCACTGCGTGTAGCAATTAGTTTTGCAGCTGGAAGGGCTGAAGAGACAGATGTCCTCTTTGAAGGACTGCTACCCCAGAATGAAGCATGCTGTTGGCACTTCCAGTATCTTTTCATCAATTCTGCAATGAGTCTGTACCTGGGAGCGATGTACTAGGGCCAGAGATTTGATTTAGAACAGGATTATGGACAAGGCCAGAGGAGCTGGATCTTCTAGGGAAAGGTTTTGCCTTCATCTAGTGTTGGTTTACCAAAAAAAGGCAACTTATTACTGTTGCCTATTCCTGCTTTAGTTGAAGTAGCAGAATTGTGCACAATAGATGTAGTATCACATGGGTGTCTACATAAAGTTTCATAACAGAAGTTTAGTCTTCTTCAGAACATGAGGAGCCAGGTACTCCGAATCTCCACACAGAGAGTGCTACTAAGGTGAGAGTCAAGCTGTCAAATAGTTTGGAGGTGCCAGAATTAAAAGTAGCTGCTGCAAACCTGATTTGATGAGTGCCAGTACTGCAATGATATCTAACCACTTGTCTGCCATACTGTTTCCCTAACATGACCCCTGCCACAAATACCCATGTCAATCTTATATATTGTTAGGGGGCTTAGCAGCAATATGTTGTGCCTCATCACACTACTACAACTCTGCAAGCCTTTGCATTTGATACTTAACAAGACTGGCTCCAGGAAACACTGTTCCTGAGATTACTTACAGAGTTCTAGTACAGGCATCCACAGCAGTGTGATGGGCCAAACCCTGCCATTCTCATCTCCATTCAAATGAGTGATTTTTAGTTCAAGACAGACTGTTTCACCTATGCAAGAGAGTGGGATTGGCCCCGTTCACTTAGTTCAAGTCAAAAAAGGTTTCACCTGAGGTTTTCTGAGCTGAATTCAGATTCCAGGAAACGAAGGAACTGGTCTCGTCCTACGGGGTCCTTCAGCACCTCATCCATGGAGAAACCCCATCTCTTCACACGCTGCTGACTGGGTTCTTTGCTGTTTGGAGAGAGGAAGGAAAAAACAGATGGAATGTGCATTTCTGCCTGCTGTCTGAGCAGCTGCTGCTGTTTCTGCTAAGCAGTAAAGGGAGGAAGATAATCAGATGAGGAGATAGTGTTTTTTTCTCAGGATTTTGCAGAAATACAAGTTAGCAAATAATATACAAAAAGAAGCTATAAAGACCCTTAGAAAGGGTCATCATTAAAGCAACTCCACTATCTATGGGCTATGTACACAGTAAAATGAGAGAGACAGTGAATGATATGATTTTCAGAGCAATTTCTGGTAGATTTACTGTGAAAAACAGCATACATGTAAAGAACAGCATAAAATACTCAAATGATTATTCAGTAGGCACTTCTTATACATCTACTCAAATGTATCTTAGGATTTCTTATGTGTCAAAGCAGAAATTTCCCTGGGCTCTGCTGGTGAGCTCCAGAACATCTCCTGTGTCCCACACAGTGCTGGCTGGTCACTTGGAACCAGCTTCAGATTTTCAGTTCCACATTTGCATTAAAAAAGCAGTTTCACTAAGAAGCAGGGCAGACAAGATTTCTAAAAATGATTACTGGTTTGTGGTCTGTTTTTTTTCAGTGCCTCTGATTTTTGGATGCCTAAAGTCTTGGAAGACTAAATGGCATCTCCTTCCTTCCATGATAATCAGACTCTTATTTTGTATCTCAGCTGGGACACTGAGATGCACAGGCACTCAAAATCACTAACAACCTCTCTCCTAAATTATTTCTTAATACAACCTCACTTACATAAGCCGTTGTTTGAATTGCCAGACATGTTGCAGAGGTGCCTATGGGGAGAGGCAGTGCCTGGGAATCACAACGAGGATCCTACCAGACAGCCCGCATCAGAGCGTACTCCAGGCTCACAAAGTGTTTGAAAGCTCCTGGTGTGATGGCGTCACACTATGAGACAACCATTAAAACAGAGCCCAGCTGCTCACACTTGTGACAGCAGAGCCATTGTTAACAGTACATATCTATTAAACCACATGTCTGGTCGTGTCCACAGTGATCCCTAATCCCGGAGCCCTAGGGGACAGTGGCGATCTGTGTCGAAGACAAATAAGCCAAAGGGGTAAATAAAATGCCCGCTTTCATTTCCTCTTGGTGTAGAGACTAAGCAAAACTGATGGGCATGTCCTCACTCAAAGTGCAGAGCAGCTGGGATGGCTCCTCCTGGACTGACCCGGGAGCAGACTCCAGCCTACCTGCTAGGTGAGCCAGCAGAACACGGGGGCATGGAACCCATGCTGGTGCAGAGCTTTGCACGACCTAAGCTCAGGGAATTTCCTGCTGGATCCAGAGATCTGTAGCTGCTCTTCTTGCCACTGCACAATGTTCTAGCAGGGATGAAAAGGCCAAAGTGCTGTCTAAAACTGAAGGCTTTGCATGGCGAGTCCTTGGTGCCGTAAGGGATGAACTGCAGTGGCACAGGGCTGCCCAACTCAGCAGCTGGCCCTGCCATTAGAAGGGAGAGGTTCTTTGTTTTCCTGAGCAAGGGCTCTGCTCTCCTAACAGAAGAAACAGCTCTGCAGGCAACACAAGGGCTACAGCAGCTCTCGGGGATCATTTAATTATTCATGCAAGTTGCAACTAGATGCAGATGCAGTGAGTTCTCTTACAATAGAGAATAAAATGGAAATACAGAGTTGTTTGTTCTTCCATCTCCCTACAATACAACTTCCTCTTTTTCATCAGCAGGAGAATCCCCTTCCTTAACTCTGAAATCATAGCAGAAGACAGGCATTTATTTTACATGCCTACAGAGGCCATGACATCAGGTTAATTGTTTTCTTCAGGGACACAGACAGCTTTTCTGGGATTTGCAGCTGCCTTACCAGATGCAGAAATAATGGATGCCTGGATTACCTTGTGGGTGGGGATTCCTCCAGAGAAGGATTTTGCAGAGGCTGTATCTGGTTCTAGCCCTGCTAGGGAGGATGGAAAAGGAGGAGGGATGCTAGGGAGGGAGAAAATGCCTAAAAAGGAAATGCAAAATAGTAAATTTATGTGATGAGGGACAAAGATTAGGGAACTAATTTATTTTTTTGACTGTCCTGGTTTGAGCTAGAACAGAACTAATTCTGTTTAGTGATTTTACTTTTCAGCTCATTCACTTCTCAGTATCTCCACTTTCTGAAGTTAATGACATTTTTGTAGACAGTGTTTGCTCCTAGCAGTGGTAATGCTCAATGTTTAGAGTTACTAGCAAGGATTGGCATGTGTAGAAAAGTCCTTGCTTATACCCGCTCCTGTGCAGACCAAGGTCACTGCTAAATCTTGTGTACCACGCTGGGGGTGCAGAAAGTAAGAGGTCACACCCATGGGGAGGAGTAGACAGGATAGGTGACCCTAAAATGACCAGTGGGGAATTCCATCCCACATATGCCATATTCATTCTAAAGCTAAAGGATCATGAGGGTCAAGCTCTCTTCAATATCTGGTGTCCAAGGAGGACTTCAATATCTGGTGTCCATTCTGCTTCCAATGCCAATCCATGCACTCCTGAACCCAGTTCCTGTCTGCCACTGAGTCCAGCCTGGGACTTCCCCAGTGCCTGCTCCACAGCATCAGTGGTGACACAACTGCTATCAGGGGGGGTTGGGTTCAATACTGGTTTTGTATATACTTGTAATACATTTAATTTTATTATTTTCATTAAAGCTGTTTTAGCGCGAGTTTCCAAACTGTGCATGTCTCTCCCTTATTCCCTTTCTCTTCCCCTTTGGGAAGAGAGAGGGGTTAACAGAGAGCATCTATCATCATCTAGTGGCCAGCTCTGCCTAACCCTTGACAGTGACTACCAGAAAAGCAGGTGAAAACATCTTTCATGTCCCAGACCACATGGCTTTTAAATGGGGAAATAACTTGCCCTTTTCCTGATGATTCACTATGAATTAACTTTCTTAGGCTGGTAGCATCTTAAACTTTACATTATTATTCAAGAACAGACAGGATTAGATTTGGCATTCTCTTTTCAAAGATTTGCTGAAGTGAACTCCCAGTTCAGCTTTGGTGTTGAACCACAGCAGCTAAACACTAGAAGCTGCTCAGCACCTGCAGTAGATGGCCACAGGATGGGAGTAGTGAAGGTGATACTTTAGCTATGTACTTGTATTTTGTAAAGTTAGACATCCAAATTCCTGTTCAAACAAGGCAGTGGGAAGAGGATACAAAATGAATGGCAAGACAACTACCAATTCTTACCTCATTTCAATGTCCCACAAAGCTGCATCATCACTTATCCAGGGATTGGAAGGCTCAGCAGGAGTTATGAAGGGGTCGTATTCCACATACTGCTCTGTGTAGGCTATTAAACTGACAGGTAGAAAAAAGAAGAAAAGAAAAAAAAAAAATCAGGGCCTGAATGCTCATTCCCATGTCAGAGAGGTAGGGCTTTTCTTTTTCTTTTATTTTGTGCTGCTCTTTATTTCTGTAGGGATTAGTCAGCTTCTCAGCAACCCCAGGAGTCCCTTTTCCCACAGTGCATGGAAGGACTTCTCTGCAAACACCCACCAGTTCACTGCAGTATTTTCCTCAGGCTCATCTCTCTGGAGATGGCCACAAAAAGCCCAATGAGGCAACAACAGGATTGCTGTGGTAGGACAGCTATGGGATGGCTCTGAAGCACATGTCCTCTTCATCTGCTGCATGTTGCCTCTTGCCCTTCTGTGTTTTGCAGCCTTTTGCACCCACTTATGAGTAACTCATCTAAACAGGGTCATGTGCTGGGGCTAAGAATACCCTTAAATCTTTGGAGGACCACAGTCCTGAGCATCAAAGCTTCGGGCTATTGATAATTTTTTTGTTACACTGGTACAATATTTAGTCTAATGGCACTGTTGTAAAACATTTCAACAACAGTTCACAATAATTAACTCAGAATGTAGTAAATTATATGCATATTGGAAAAACATCAGGCCTTTCTACTGGCTTGCTTCATGAAGAGTAAGGTAAGATGTACAGCCTCTAATCCTCACCAGGATAAGATTCAAAGAGCTTCCTGGGAAAAGGACCCGGTCTGCTTGACTAAGCAATTCAGGAATTCCACTGGGGCTGGGGCTAGGGGCCCATTTTTACAAAAGAAAGACAGCATATATGAAATAAATCAAAAGAAGTTTGTCCTAGTCTATACTGGAAATACTCTAAGGCACTTTTTAATTTTTTTCCCTGTGTCTGCCAAGTAATTAACTAAGTTAATTGAGTCTCATCTTACTGAACAACTAATCTACTTGCACTGCGATTGTCCATGCTAAACTTTACCTCTGGTCTTCCACATCTCCAAAAGGCAAGAGAATGAAAAGACCCTGTGAAACAAAGGGTCACAAAAGGCAGAAAGTTTCCCTGACCTGGTCTACAGTAATTATTTCTTTTTGTTTGTCCTAGCTCTTATCACGAGGCATTAAAATCATACACTTTTGTAACCACAGCAGGTTCCCACTGCCCCTCAGGGCACTCAGGGCTGTCTCATCTCATTTCATTAATTACATTTCATGACTGCTGTGGGTCAAGGGTTGGAGGAGGGAGCAGCGTCCAATTTCAGAGAACAGAAGCAATCCCCAAGACATCAATGAAGGAGAGGGTTGGGTAAAAAAAACAAACAAAAAAACAAACAACAAAAACCACCACAACAAAAAGGATCAATCAGGAGATATCTCCTGTGAAGCTTGAACTGCTCCTAATAAAATAATAAGAAGGCATCAGAGGTGCTAGTACAAGTACTAACACAACTAAAAGGGGGAAAAAAATTAAATGAAACAAGGGGGAATTGCTAAACACATTTTGCTGATTCAGTATAATGACAGCAATGGAATCATTGCCTCATTGTCTGAAGGAGTCTACAGGCAGGGCACTCCCAAGGGAGAGCTCTTCTGTCAGAATGCAAACCTGGGCTTTTGCCCTTTCTGATGATGCACTGTAGCTCTGGTAGAGGAGGTGGTGGGAAGAGTTCACTCAAGGGTGCAGAGCCTGCCTTGAGAACTCAGCTGCCTCTCAGTCAGTGGGCTCTGCAGAGCCTTCACAGGAGCTTTGAGGAGCTGAGAGGACAGCATCTAGGGAGCTGAGATTGCTTCTGGTAGGAAGATGCTCTGGTTTTCCCCGGCCATTTCTGTGATGCCACATGGAGTGGGACTGCACTAATGCTGCACAATGATGCAGTCAGGGAAAACAGCAGGCAGAATATATTGGTAATTTTGCTCAACAGTTCTCAAATCTCATTGCCAAATTCTAAACCTGACAGTACACAAGTCCTAAGTGGGGAGAAAGAATGTGGAAGAAAGGAGAAGAAAACTGTAGGAAACTGTTCCCAGGGTGCCTGGAGCAGCTAAGGGATTCTCACAGCTAGTGCAGATTGGCTTCTGGAAGGAGAACAGGGAGGAGAGGGAAGACAATCTTCAGTAGTAGGCATTTATTTCATGGGAACTGGGGATAACCTTTTCTGGGAGCCTTTCCTCTTCTGCTGGACAAGGGCTATTCCACAGAGTAGCATGCATTCATGGGGAATGTGATTGGTCTATCACTATTAAAATAATTTATATCTTATTCTCATAACAGATGAGGCAGCAGTTTAGATAACAAATGAGACATCATCCCCTGCCTTATTTGCTCATTATTTCCCTTGTCCTGCCTGAAAGTGCCTTTGTGCTATACTGAAAAAATGGCAGGTAGTGATGCTCTCAGGCTTGGCTGTAAGAAGGAGCGCACCAAGATGCCATCTCCTGCACTCTGACCTGCCACACTGTCACTTAACAAATTCTGAAAGCAGGAGCCAGCCTGAAAAGTGACTTACTAATAACAGCACCTCCTCATGCAGCAGATTTGTTCCTGGCATTCGTATTCAGCATTTTACATCAGACTTTCAGCCCATGTAGGTTTTTACTTCAGGCAGTTGTTCAGCACAGGTCATCCACGTTCATTCCTCCTCATCTACCCCCACCCTTGCCAAGCCACTGGACTCAGTTTCTCTACTTCCCTCCCACCTGCTCCATGACCCTCCACAACCAGGCTGCAATTCCCATCACTCTCCACACCAAGTCCCCAGGACCCTCCAAGCTCTTTCAAACCAGGAAATTTTTATGTACAGTTTTACCAAAAACTAAGTTGTTTTTTTGTTTGGCACTGACAATGTTACATTTATAAGCTCAGTAGCTCCTTAGGAACTTGAAAAACAGGTGTGTTATGTGGACAGCACTGGATGTTCACAAGTGAATGAGTTTTACTGAGTCCATCTTACTGAATCGATACCTACCTAGAAAAAAATCAACCAAAATAGATCTGCTTGCTTGTAAATTATCAGCCTGGAAATTATTATTGTCCCAGTAGATTAAGGTCATTGTAAGTAAATCCAGTAAAAAAAAAAAAAAAAAAGACATTTTCTGGTACAGAAAAAAAAAAAAAAAATATCTTCTTAAGAAAAAAGAACCAGAAAGCCTAAAACATAAACATGAATGTGCTCATTTCTGTTATACAATATAGTGCACGCAGGATTTCAGGAAGCCTATGAATATTTTCTATTTAATTGGATAAATTTTTATTTTAATTGTTAAATTTTATGAGCCAAGAGGAACTTACTTAGGGACTCTTGTCATTTAATCTGCCCAGTTTAGTACACACATGCTAATTACAGGTGCAGGCACTGCAAAGCTCATGCCATAGGGTAAGCTGGCTTTAATTTGCTTAAATAAAAATTCCCTTATTATTTCTCTATGAGGCACCAGCCCTTACCACATCTCTCATGTTCAACACAGTTTTGCCACAAAAGTGGTGTTACTGAAGTGTGGCTGATTCCTACATTTGTCTCAGTGATTCCCCTGGAAATGTACATAACTTACAAGTATCTAAGTAATGGAGCTGTCATTCTAAATCACATTTGAGCTTGTTCTCTATCGGTTTATACTTTCCTACCAGAACTAAATATTCTGCAAGTCAAAATATGCCCTGATTTGCCTCTATGAGGAATCCACCTCTTAAAACATTGCCTTGGGTAGTCCAGGTACAACCCCAGTATTTTCCATAGGGTTTCATTTGTATAAGTGGGAGCAGAAACTGTCCCTGCAACCCCAATATGAATATGGACATGAACACCTCGTGCAACAAGAGAAATGCAGAGATGTCTCCAAAGCTGTGCCAGACTCACAAGGGATAAGTACTGAGAGTTCAGCCACAAAGGAAAAAGGGTATTTTCAAGTAGAATGAAATGACTTTTCTGTAAATAAACTCTAGGGTCATGAAGAAGTGGAAAACAAAAGCATTGCAAGGGTCCTTTCTTTCATGAATCATATTTCTTTTGCTTTTATAACAGCATCCTCGGTTTTCACCTGTTTTTCACAGGATGGGGGCCAGCCTTTGTGCCTTCCTGCCCCACTCTCTGCTTCTGGAAATGCCAAACTGGAGATGGGGAAAGAACGGGATACGACACAAACAGGGACACTCACCTTTCTGCTACTTTGGACATCTTTAAACAATGTCTCTCTATCTGCATGTTCAGAAAAGTTATCTGGGGAGAGAGACGACAAGGACATTAGCAATCCATGAGCTCTACAGCATGCATTGATCATACCCCAATACACTATTGATTTCTCTTTCCAAAGAGCTTCAAAAGGAAATGGGACCCTTCCCTAGGCATTAGAAGAAGCTTATTAACTGCTTCCAACAGGAGTCTCCATTTCCTATGGCAAAGCCCCAGGGGAAGCTTCAGAAGACATAATTAAAAGTAGGAAAGGCACATATTTGAGGCTGAGGTTTCTAGACTGCTCAGGGTGCAATATGATCCCCTTTTTACACCACACTCCTCTCTTCCATTTCCCTGACTGGCAACACAAGACCAATAATGGGTTTACAGCACATTTGCACTCTGCTATGAACTAGTTCTTCACAGTACTCTGCAGCCTACACTGCCTACGATGGAAACAGCTCCAGAAACTTAGTGTTCAGATTTAGTTCAGAAACCACCCTAAAACTGGCTGCCTAAGAAACATGTTTAAAGCTGCCTTTACTAAAACGCCGACCTAGCAACTCCTGCCTGTACTTCAGTGAGTGCTGCTTGTTGCAGGAAGTAATTCTGAGGGAGAGACAACTGCACTGCTCAGTGAACATATGTATGTATCTCTAAATACTTAATACTTTACATAAAGCATGTGAGGATCAAGGACAGGTAAAGCATATAATTGGTTTTGCTGGTAACTCAGTAACTTTAACGCTGCTTTTTTTGGTGACTTTTTTTTGACAGCAGTTCTCAGAAGAGTTGTCATACAGCACCTACTTACTTGTTTCCGAAAATCCTCCTTTGTAGTTTTGCGTACAGGCTGGGAGGGCACATGCACAGGGCTCTGGGGCTGAGACTCCTCTGTAACCCCATACACTGACTGTGAGGAACCAACCAACAGACAGACAGAAGAGATTAAGGCATTTTTCTCTGTTATGCAATGAGGAAAAGTGCAGTATGCAAAGCAGTAAAGTAACAAGCCAGCAATTTCCTACTGTTTATATCAACGCAGGTCAGTATCATTCAGCCTGGAGCAAAATGTACAGATCAGTCCATGCTTGCAGATGCCTGCACTTGGAAGGTCTGCAGGTATGTTAAGAGTTTCTTTTAAATGTTAAAATGCAGCTGATGATGTTTAGGAGCTCTGAAGGCTCTGTATGCCAAAGCTTGCAGGATGAACACTGACAGGTCACTGTGGTGAACCTATGGATTAAGAAAAGACTAGAACCTAATCCTATGCCATTTTCTTTTTTACTTGGTTTAATTTCTTGTTGTACAACTACACACTGAAGAAAGTGCTTAACCAGGTGCCAGTGGGTAAAGTTCATGTGAACCCCTCTAAACAAAAACCTGCAGGCTGACATGTAGCCATCTGTTTTCAGGATAGAGACCTGCACTGAAAGTAATATCTGTTATCCCTTCATTTAGTGCTTTTGCTTTTTGTTTGAGATTCATAAGAGACATGTGAATAGCTCTGCTGCAATTTCACTACCAATGAAAGTTCAGGAGTCTGCTTTCCCCCCCAAAATGGGTAATAAGCGACAGGATGAGAGGAAATGACCTCAAGTTGTGCCAGGGCAGGTTTCGGTTGGATATTAGGAAAAATTTCTTCACTGGAAGATTTGTCAAGCCCTGTAACAAGCTGCCCAGGGAAGCAGTGGAGTCACCATCCCTGGAGGGATTTAAAACACGTGTAGATGAGGTGCTCAGGGACATGGTTTAGTGGTGGACTTGGCAATGTTGGGTTAACGGTTGGACTCCATGACTTCAAGGGTCTTTTCCAACCTGAATGATTCTTTGATACCATACCACATAAGAGCTAAAACATTCTGGAAGTCACTCAACTTGCTAATGATCCAGCCTTTGAAATGACCAAGGCAGGTAAAGAGCTCTGAAAAATCTGTGCCTAAATAGTTTCTTGTAATGGGATCTAGGTACTTTTGCCAATTGCTTTTAACATAGGAGTGAAGAGCCAGCAGGCATCTGGGCCATGAAGCTCCTTAATGCTCTCCTCAGCTGTGTCAGTCACCCAGCCTGCACCACTCTGCTGGTGAAAGGGGAACAGTAAATTCACAGATAAGAACAAAATGGGACTGATATTTGCAATACACCATTTTTTTGCTTCCTGTTGGGAAACTGATATACTGCAGGTGTCAAGCATGATTTGAAAAAACAAACAAATAAAGCATCAAAGCCCCCCAAAACCCACAAAACCAGGAACTCAGACTGACCTTTTTCACTTTCTGTGGGTTTTTCATACGACGACACTTTCTAATGTCCATTTCTGTGGTGTTCACACAGCCTGGCTGAAAAGAGATGGCAACAGCGTTACTCCTCTGTTCATAGACTTCATGCTATCTTACCTTTATAAATATATACAATTAGATCTCCTCCAAAATTATTTCCTGCAGTTTGTGTCCCATAAAATAGCCTTGATAAACAAGAGACTGCATATACCCAAAGTTGGCATCTCAGCATTCAATCCATTTACTCATAACTTTGGCACCAAAAGGAAACATCTCAGCTAAGATGGGAGCTTTTTCTAGGAAGTCTGAGCCAAACTGGATAAAAGCTGCTTTGATTTCACATGTACAATAAATAATATTCAAAATTTCACATTCATCATTTATTTCCAAACCAATAGTTCTGTGCATGCACAAGCCTAAAATGTCTAAAGTGATCTGTAGACATCTTGATGTGTTTTGAACTGTGAGGAAAATCCCACATGGTGACTTTCAAGACAATGTCTTTGTGCATGCCACAGTGTTTACTAGTATTAAAATTTTCCTGTCAAACCCTGGAAGGTCTCATAATTCAAAAAGAGCTTTACCACAGGCCTGTGCACATCCCAGAATGCTCTTTCCTGACTGTCCAAAATCTTTCTTTCTGTTTTATCCTTTTTCCTGTCGATTCTGTAAACAAAAGCAGAAGCATACATGAGTCAATAAACAAGTAGTGTTTGCTTCTTTGTTATGGTTCCTAGCTGGGCTTTTAACACAATGACAAAAAAATTCAGAAATCTACTTTTTTTTTTGTACAGAAATGTCACAATCCCACTTACAAGGCCATGTGCCACAAACAAAATATCACTACTTCAGTAGTGTCAAAAGAGATTTTCCTATGATGGTGGAAAATTTATTTTAACATCTGCTTTTTCATCTGGTGAGAAAAACAACCTTTCCTGATACTCTGCTCCCAAATCCTGATTTGTCAGGCTGGGGAATTTCACGTTTGGCTTTGGGTCTGTCAGGAGACCCACTGGGACCTCTTCACTCTAGGTGAAGCTCTTAGCCGGTGCTGGATGAAGGGCCACCTCAGAGGGTCCTGTTGCACTTTGGTGCCCTAGAAACACTGCTGGTATGACCACAGATTGTGAAGGGGCAGCTATTCCAGGTGCTTCCAGCAGAAACAGCACAAGCAGCACTTGAGGCATCCTTGTTAGGGCTTGGCCCACCTGCCCTGTGCATGCCAGCACTCACCCAAGAGACGTGCAGCTGGGCCAGCACAACTGCAGCTCAATCATTTCAGCCCTGATGCAGCCAATGTGTCAACTCACTCAAAGCACACAGATCAAAGGCCACCAGAAGTTGTTCAAAGCCACCTGTCTCTCAGCAGCATTGAGCAATGTGTGTCTGGTCCCTCACTCCCATGCTCAGCTCTACACACGAGCACAGCAAAGTCACTGCTGGCTTGCAAGATGTCACCTGCAGAGACACTGGATGAGGCACAGGAGAGGAGGAACCACTTTTGCCTCTAGAACAGGATTGAAAAGCTGACAGTGGCCCTGTGCTGGTTCCCACGCTGCTGTCACACAGGAAAATCAAAGCAGTAAGGAAAAAAAAACATGCAGGTTGGGATTTCTGACCATCAGGTTCTCCCCTATCCTGTTTTGGTCTGGTTGGTTGGTTGGGGTTTTTTTTTTGCCTGGTTGGTTGGTTTTGGAGAGTCAGTGATCCTTGGCTAAGTCTGTGCTAGAAATGTACCAAGGGGATAGAAAACAGGGGACTGAAACTCCAGTTTCTGAACACTCCTGCCCACAAAAAGACCAAGTCCTCCAGAGTTCAGTATCACTCTCTGAACATCCCCCCCTGCAAGGCTGAGATGAGAAACCAGCTCTGCACAGGCTCTGTCCCCACCAGCAGACAGCAGTCGCTGCACTACACTAAAAAGCAAGCACAGACACCCAGCCCCAAAACTCTCTTTTCTTAGTGAACCCTTCATGCCTGGCCAAAGGCAAAGTTTTCTGTCAGCCTCACACCATACACAAACTGAAGGGACTCTTTGGAGGCTCCATGAAATGTCTTCATGGGTGCTTTGTGTTGAACCCAGGTGCTCAGCTCAGATCTCCAAACTTACTGATAATTCGATATTTCACATTTTAAACTATGAAGACAACATAATTAGGTGCTCTGTGGCTGCAGTTCCCAAATAATGTAGACACAACAATGGAAATCCTGTGTGCAAACAAAGATTTGGAAGGCAAAAGCAGGAGGGAAGTTTTCAGGTATTTTTGGTTTGTTTTCCTTTATAGTTGGTTTGGGGCTCTGAACTACACTGTGAATTCCAGCCCTATTGTATTGGAAACCTGAAGACTGAACCATCACATGAACTGGGAAAAAGAAGCTGAAACTAGCCAGCAAAAACAAAAGTTCTAAGTGGCCTGTCCATGCTTAAATTTCAAAGAAAACTGAATGCAGAAAATATGAGTAAGCAACAGTGATCATGTCAAGAATCTGATATTTACATTTCTTTCTCAGGTAATAATTGCACGCTGTGGACAGAATGCAGAATTTTGTTTTAACATCATTTTTTTGTTTTCTTTTGTTTCCATCTGGGCAATAAAGCTCTAAGTAACTGAAAGCACAATTGCTAATCCAACTTCTAATTTTCTCTGCCAAACAGAAGGCTGGTATTTTGGTGAGGAAAAAATCCCTTAATTGTCTTGTAAATTAAAGGATAATCACCATGTACTTAAATAATGCATAATTACAACATTATTAAGTAAAGAATTAATCAAAATTCCAAAGAGTTACTCAGAGATAGAGGTATACACCTCAGCCACACCCTCAAAAAAATTATGTTCCTTAACATTTTAGCATCTAATGCTGAAATGGTAAATTCCTTCCAGTGGTGCAGAGCATCAGTACCAATGTCCTCATATGCCATCTTCACCAACCTTTCCGTTTTATTGGTGACAAATACATGCACACAATGGACACGGAGGGTTTTAGGCTCTAATTTATAGGATTCCAGTCAACAAACTCTGGACCATACTCATTCGGCAGCGATAATGAAAACATGCTCACGAGGGAAGATGAGGAAAAAAATGTAGATTTCAATTATGGGCAAGAATGGGCAAGAGAACTCCTGAAGCTCCCATGATGAATTCAGGCTCAGGAGCTACTGGCCAACATTTCTACGTACGGATAATTAAATCCCTCTTTCAGATTCTAGCGCAAATCTTCAGAATTGGCTCTCTGTTGTTTCTAGCCTGCTGGTGAATAAAATTCACCAACACCTGAGTTTAGCTGCAGCAAAGACTTTGACAGAGATTTATCTGTGCAGAATCCCCTTCCCTTCAGAGCTGTAAATACTGTTGCAGTTCAGTGCTCCAGGATTACTCACTTCACTTGGGCCTCAGCTTGCATGAAGATGAATTCCCACTTTCTTGCAAATGCTCTCTGAAGTCTTGCTAAGTTTTCCTGACAAAAGATGAAAACAGTAAGAACAATTAATCCCTGTAATTATAACAATGGCTTAAGAGCACAGTTAAGATGGCAGGTGTTTATTCCTTTTTCTTTTTGTTTTTTTTAAGCTGGAAAACTCAAGACACAGAAGTCAGTGTTGGTTTCCAGTGAACTATCTTGCAGGCAAAGTGAGACTGTACCACATCATTTTGGGCTGCAGCCCCACAGCTGCAGCCAAGAGGGCCCTGTCAGGAAGAAGTAATGGACTGTGATGAAGACAGCCTGAGGTCTGCTACAAAAATAATGATGGGCTTGTTCCCAAAAGATAACTCTGGGAAGCTTTGCGAGGCTGACAGCTTTCACGTCTGACAGCAGATGGCTGCCACACTCACGTTTCCCTCTCATCCCCACTTTCCCTTCCTCCCCCCCCCACTCTCTTCTCTCCAGGCTTTTGCTAAGGTGCAAAGCCCGAGCATCCCTTGCTGTGCTCAGCACTGGTCACCGTGGAGAGCATCAGGCAGCTGCACAGCACTGCAGGCTGGGGACTGCCAGCATGACTCACAAAAGGAAATAGCTTGTTTGCCTGAACAATGAACAGCCCTAGCTGCGAAGACTGGGACCAGATGCAGCCTTGCTCTACAGCTGAAGAAAGAGCTCTGCTCCAGATCCATTACAGAGAGTGTCATGACCATTTGGAGGTGGATGAGGCTTCACCACAAGATCAAATGTGGACACGGCCAGAATTTCAGGCTCCAATGGCACCCAGAAGTCACATATCTGCACCCACCCTGATAAGGAGGCCTGAGAGAGGACTGAACTGATGCTCTTCTCTCTTATCACTGGTTCAACTGTTGCAAATTTTCACTGAAAATTAACATTACTAGTTCTACTGCTGTTCTTTTTATACCTATTCCCTTTATTTCAAGGAAGTGCTTAGAGTGCATGCATATCAATGCTAGAAGAAATCTTCTTATTATTTAAACTCTTGTATAACACAAGGCATAAAGCCTGGCCCTGTTACCACCAAGTCCGTGTAAGCATTTCAGCCTATATACACAGAGGAAAACAGTTAAGCAAATGGTTTACAGCTGTACTGAGCTGTGATGATTTCCTTAACTGCGGCTGCAAGGAAGAACTACTTGTAATTATCTGCCAAAACAATTTTTTGTGGGTTTCTTTTTCTAATTTATTTTGGTTTAAATTATGTTCACATGTGCCCTCTGGAGTAAATATGCTGAAGCCAATGAAACGCCACCAACTGAAGCAATATTTGAATCGTGCTTGTGTTTGGCCAATTATAAACAAAATTGAATGCAATTATGCAAGCTTAATTGTATCATCAAGACCCCTGCTCTACTGGTATAAACCGGGGGAGAAGGGTTATTGATGAACGCTGCAAGCAGAACCTAAAAATGAGAAGCTGTCCCCCTGAGAGGCTCTGTAAAGATTCTCTTTGGAAACTCCAGGTCAATGCTGATGCCTACGGAGCAGCATTCTCACGCTGCACCTCCAAAAATGGGTACTAAATGCACAGAGCTCCTTCCCACTCCTGTAAGCCTGCTTCTCTCACTCATGCTTAGCTTACATCTCCATTGCTGGATCTGCTTCAGCTCCCATAATGACTAGGAAGAGACGGTGCCATCCTTATCTGATTGTCTCTAATTAAGAGACCAAAGTTTGAATGCAGAAGTAACCTCTAATTGTGCAATGCAATATTCACAAGAAAAATGAGAGACTGCCAAGATCTAATTATTTGCCATCACTGGAGCATTGCTGCTCTCAGTAGACATCGAAGTGCAAAAGTAGTTAGCCAGAGCCTCGCTGCGTGTGTGGGGGAGTGTGCGCCTTGCTGAACAGCCTTTTGTTGCTTTATGATAGATCTTTAGAGTGCTTCCAGTTAATTGGTTGGCTATGAGCAACTTTAATGGTTTTAATAATGAAATCAGCAATATGCAGAAGAGAAAACTCAGCAAAAGGATGTGTATGTGCAGGCAGATTATTATATTCCTTCCTTTATGCCTGTACGTCAAGATTAGAACTCCTGGGAACTCTGGACGCATTCCCAGGGTGGACTAGGTATGTTGTGATTTTTGCTTGCTCTTCACTGAAAGGATCAAATGGCATTTGCATATATCCACATGCACAAAAGTCCCAAAATCTAGAAGGAAAAAGTCCATTCTTAGAAAACCCCCTAAAATACATGCAGTATCAATGTTTTCATTGTAATATACATGAACACAGAAGAATCAGCTAGAATCAGCTTTGGAAAGAAAACCTCCAGTGAAAAACCTCATGTTTGAAATTCAGCTGTTACACTGTTAAGCTAGTCAACAAAAAAAGTCAATATGATAGAAAGACAAGTTCAGCTGGTCAGAGTGTTACACTGCTGGTATTCAAAGAAACTCACACCAGCCCTGTCTCTCCTGTCTCCATCTTCCCACTCCTCTCCACCCAAACCCAGCACAAACCGTAGCCACAGTTGGGGATGTTTTTATGGATAATAATTTCATAACAGAAAACATGCCCTGAATAAGCTTAAGCAATAGGTTTTTGTATGGCACACTGAAAACAGTCCAAGTCTGACATCTGAAAACTTTCTTAACTAGATGTGTCATCAGAAGTTTAATTGCCCAATAATGCATCTGAAAATCCATCATCTCCATGTGTTACTAACCGCTATATAAACCAGGAATCGTTAACTGGAAACAGAAAACCAAGGTAAGCTTCTGTGTAATGAGCACTGTGTCCAGTTCTGGGCTCCTCAGTTCAAGAGAGACAGGGAACTATTGAAGAGAATCCAGCAAAGGGCTACAAAGAAGATGAGGGGACTGGAGCCTCTCTCTTATGAGGAAAGGCTGAGAGACCTGCAGTGGTCTAGCCTGGAGAAGAGAAGAAGTAGAGACGATCTTATCAAAGTTTATCAATATCTAAAGGGCCAGACTCTTTTCAGGGGTGCCCAGTGATAGGGCAAGGGGTAATGGGCACAACCTGGAACAGAGGAAGTTCCACCTAAACATAAGGAAAAACTTCTTTATTTTGAGGATGACGGAGCGCTGGAACAGGCTGCCCAGAGAGGTTGTGGAGTCTCCTTCTCCAGAGGCTTTCAAAATCCACTCGGACGTGTTCCTGTGCAACCTGCTCTAGGTGAAGCTACTTTAGGAGAGGGGTTGGAATAGATGATCCCCAGAGGTTCCTTCTAACCCCTAGCAGCCTATGATTCTGCAGTTTGCCCCAATCTGAAGGGCTGGCTGTGCAGCAGACGCTTTCATTTGAGACACCACTAAGCCAGGGATGTTCCCCAGTCACATTCCTGATATTGTCTCCAGATCAACCTTCACACAAATCTGACAACTAAAAAAGAAACCACAGTAAAGGCTGACCCCAAAGTACAAAAAGGCAACATTCAATGGGCAAGCAAAGCCCTCCCCACAGTCCCCAGCTTTAAACTCTAGCAGCAGTGTACCTACGGCTTCATAATCCGCCAGCTCCAGCCTGGCTTTGTTCTGCATGGTCCTCTTGCAAAGGTAGATGGCTAAAGGGAGAAACAGAATGGAAAACAATTACAGAAAGATTATTAGTACTAGGTCTGAAAAAAGAAACAAGTGGTCCATGCACTGTTCTCATCAGAAAGCAACGTGAGGCAAAGAACAAGCGGGCTGAATACCCAGCTGACATTATCCACCAGTAATCTCAGGGGCCTTAAACATCTGGGACATCTCATTTAAAAGTGCTGAGAGTAGATGCCAGGACCTAACAAGACGTCTGAGAAAGCACAATTGCTTCTGGAGCTGGTAAAAGATAGAGCATTAGCAACCTCT